GGCACACAACCGCCACCACCACATTTATTTATGGAGTTCTGGTGTGGCAGAGTAGGATAAGCACTGGACTGCTTATTCAAACCCATCAGCCACTCCTTGGAAACCCTATACAGGGTCACTATGAGTTGGAACCAACTTGATGACACTTAACAGCAACAACAACATATTTATTTACGGAGTCTTGGTGTGGTGCTGTAGAATAAACACTGACTGCTAACCAAAGGTCAGTGGTTCAAACCCACCAGTTAGTTGCTCCTGCTCCTATATACAGGGTCGCTATGAGTCAGAACTGACTCAATGGCACTTAACAACAGCATATTTGCATCTATTATTTTTTCAGTGTAGTGAAAATGTATACAGCAAAACAATTCAACAATTTCTGCATGTAACATTCAGTGACATTAAGATTTTGTTTTTAAATTTTACTTTGTATTGGTGTTTCATATCACATGCTCAGTGTAGAAAATTTGGAAAGTATAGAGAAGTATAAAGACAAATAAACCCCAATTAAAACCAAGTCTACTGCCATTATGACAATTACAACTTCTAGCAGCCCTGTGTGGGGTTTCCAAAGCTGCAAATCTTTATAGGAGCAGGAAGTCTCAGTTTTCTCCCACAGAGAAACTGCTGATAGAAGTATAAACAACAAGGAAGATCAAAGAAGAATTGATGCCTTTGGATTATGGTGTTGGTAAAGAATATCGACTCTATCGTGGACCGCCAGAAGAATAGCACATCTGTTTGGAAGTGGAGCCAGAATGCTCCTTAGGAGGGAAGATGGCGCGACTTCATGTCACTCACTTTGGACATCTTATCAGGAGGGACTAGTCCCTGGAGGAGAACATTGTGCTTGGTAGAGGGTCAGCAAAACAGAGGAAGACCTTCAATTGTATGGACTGACACGGTGGGTACAACAATGGGCATAAACATAGCTCCACTTGTGAGGATGGCACAGGACTGGGCAGGGTTTTGTCCTTTTGTACACAGTCAGAACCAACCTGATGGCAGTTAACAATAAGAAGCCTCAGAAACTATGAAAATGTACATTTCTGTTTGTTAAAGCGTCTACTTTTAGTATTTCTGTTACAGCAGCACTGGAGAACTGAGACCTCCAAGGTTGTCTGGAGCAGAGAAGAGTGAAGAAAAAGGCAGTGAACCACCGTCTCCACCACCCTGAGATCGGAAGAACTAGATGGTGCTCTGCTCTGATCAGTCACTCTGATCAGAATCACAATAGAAGGTCCTGGGCAGGGAGAAATGTAAAAATATACAGCAAAATTCAAAATCATAAAAATGACCAGACTTATTGGTCTGACAGACACTGGCAGTGGAAGCTTCTGAGACTGTAGCCCTTCAAACCAGAAGTTAAACCCACCTCTACAGACCAACTTTCAGCCATACAATGTTTTTAAGTGTCTTTGAGTCAATTCCAACTCATAGTGTGAGGTGGTGACATGGATTCAGTTTTGGTCCCCAGATTCAGGTGGGCTCAGCTCCAGACGTACAAAACCTGCAGAGCCACCAGACCAGCATTTAACCAGTCACCCTGCCCCCAGCTTCCCTGTGATCCTAACAGACTGAAACCAGCTCCATCAAGGGTCCCTACAAACCACGTCTGGATTGAGTGCCTGAGCAGAGCTAACACTGAGGCCAATAGGAACTCCATCAATGGCCAGGAACTCTGCTGTCACATCACTTCTACAACAACCTAGTGAGCTCCTGGAATTGCAGGCACCCCAGAGACTTCTCCCATCTGGGTCCAACAAATGCTCTGTTTGTTTTTACAAATATGGCAACCTCACAGTGCCCCGGAGACAACAGACAATTTTATCTCACATGAAGAAACAAGAGAGAATGGCTCAAACAAATGACCAAGATGCAGAGCCAGAAGACGTTTCTGAGGACGAAAAGGTAAAGGAACTAAGTGAAAAAAAAATTTCAAAGGAATGACAATTATGTACCTTTAATGGCTCGACAGAAACATTGAAGAAAGGAGAACACAATAAAAGCTTTAGAGGAATTCAGGAAAACACTACAAGAACAGACAAAATATAAGCAAATTTTGAAACAATACAAAACCTGCCATTAGAAATCCAGAAGACTAATACTAAGATCTCAGAAATGGACAATACTCTGAAAAGGCAAAGGAGTAGATGCAAAGCAATGGAAGCCCGAATTAGTGAGCTTGAAGAGAAATTTCTCAATGCTACTATGCTAGAAGAACAATTAGAAAAAAGAAAAGAAAAAATCTGAAGAAAATGTAAGAGTTAATGTGGAGCACCATGATGAGAAACAATTTATGGGTGATCAGAGTTCCAGAACAGAAAGAGACAAGCACAGAGAATTTTGTCCAAGAATTGTTGAAAGAAAATTTCCCTAACATTATGAAAGTTAAGCATACAAGAAGCTGAAGGAACCCCAAACAAGAGAGATCCCAAAAGAAAATCACCAAGACATATCATAATTAAACTTTTCTAAAATCAAAGATAAGGAAAGAATCCTGAAAGTAGCTCAGGAAAAACAAAAAATCACCTACAAAGGAGAACCATTAAGATTAAGCTCTGATTTCTCAGCAGAAAACCATGCAGGCAAGAAGGCAATAGAATGACATACACAAAACTCTGAAAGAAAATGATTACCAACTAAGAATCATATATCCAACAAAGCTGTCCCTTAAATACATGGTGAAATTAGGATATTTCATGATAAACATAAATTAATGGAATCTGTAATGACCGGATCAACTTTACAAAAAATACTAAAGGTTTTTCTTTGGACCGAAAACCAACAACAGCAGAAAACAACCTGAGATTACGGTACATGACAACACCACTCAAACCTCACTCCAGATATAGAAGTATTTAAAGGAAAACAAACCTACAAAACTGAAAATAGAGAACCAGAAATATCAATGTATAATGAAGGCAACTACAAAGCAAAAAGAATAGTGTTGATACAGAACTTCCAAGTGGCAAGGAAGTCAAATAGATTTCAAGATAACACAGACTGTTCTAAGCAGGGGAAAGTTAATAAATTATAGGGTAACCTCAAAGAAAATTGATCACATCAAAATAAAAAAAAGAGGAAAACAAGTAAGCTTTAGTAAACATGAACACAAAATGAAAATGAAAATTACAAACAAAATGAACTCAGAATAGAAAATTATGTGGCTCAAAGAATCCAGCAGCACCACCACAAAACACACAGAAAATGACAACAGTCAAGTCACGCCTATTGATAATGACACTGAATGTAAATGGATTCAATGTTCCAGTCAAAAGACATAAAGAGCAGAATGGATAAGAAAATAGGATCCTTCCATATGCTCTCTACAAGAGATATTCAAAAAGATAAAGACAGCCTAAATGCCTATTAACAAAAGAATGGTTAAACTTTGGTGCATACACACAATGAAATACTACAGGACATTGAAGAATGATGATGAATCTGTGAAACACCTTACAACCTGATTGAACCTGGAGGACATTATGCTAAGTGAAGGTAGTCAATTACAAAAGGACAAACATTGTATGAGATCAAGGCTGTAAAAAGTTGTTTTTTTGTTTTTTAAAAATAGGTTTTCTTGATAAAAGAGGGGGCAGAGGGGAGAAGGGAAAATTATTCACCGACTAGAGGGTTTGTTGTTGTTAAGTGTTGTTGAGTGGATTCCAACCCATAGCGACCCTGTATAGGGTTTCTGAGGAGCAGCTGGTGAGCTTGAACCACCCACATTGCAGTTCAAACGGCTAACCCACAGGGCCACACACATTAACACGGGTGACAGGGCAGACAATATACAATAGGAAGGTTAGTACAGGAAAGATGAAGGTAGTGGTTAATGCGTTGGAATGCAGTCACTAACTGCAGGCCACTGTGGGTCGGAATCCACTCCATGGTATTTAACAACAAAAACAAGGAGGAGCGGCTGATGAGCTTGAACCGCTGACCTTGAGATTCGAACCAACCTTGCAGTCCAGCGCTTTGACCCACAACGCCACACAAACCGACCTTTAGATGAGATATCAATGTTCAGTTCTATCTGCAGTGTACGAGCTTGCTCATTTCCCTACCCCTTCTGGTGTGGCGCTGCAGGATAATGCACTGGACTGTAAGTTGGTTTGAAGTGCAATTTCGGCGGTTCACATCCACCAGCTTCTCCTCGGAAACCCTATATAGGGTCGCTATAAATCGGAGCCGACTAGAAGATGCTTAACAACAACTACAGCTCTGTAGGATAAGCACTGGCCTGCGAACCACAAAGTCTGCGAATTCACACGCACTAGCAGCTCCTCGGAAACCCTTTACAGGGTCATTTAGAGTCAAACCGACTACACTGCACTTAATAACAACAGTGCATATCCTACAGCGACACCAGGGCTCCTCCCCTCACCCAAATTAGTTCATTAAAACAAATCAAAACAAAAATATTACCAATTTAGGGTCGCAGTTACCTTTTAAATAAAATTGCTTTAAATAAGATCCCTTAATTCTACAGCTCACTATCCAGGAGAAACATCAGGCCATGTGCTCCAGAAGACATATGTATACAATTCACTGCAGCATTGTTTGTAATACTAAAAATAAAAACAACCAAATGTTCTCCTCCATGGGGTGGCTTAATTAACTGGCATCTTCACGTCCCCGGACGCTCCGCAACTGCTAGAGGCTGTGTGTTTAACTGCGAACGGCTAGGAAAGCAAGCTCTTGACACCTCTTCAGGGCTTTTGCCTCTGGGTCTGCTTGTCTGCCCTGCCCAGCTTCCAGCCGGGTTTGGGATTCTGGAGGTAAGTGGTGGGTGTAGGTGAGGGGCACGGAGGCGGGTGCGAGTCCTAACATGACCCTAATTATCTTCACCTGTCCTCAGGTGAGCAGATCACTCCTGGGAGCCGGCTCGGGATCACTGGGAGGCCGGACCCTTGGACGCTCGGCACCCTGGGCGACGGGACAGAGTTTCCGGGAACCGCTCTCCGAAGCTCACCGGCCGGAAGTGGAAGTGTTGGGGCGGAAGGAGCCGCTGTTTGCTAGCAGCTAGTGCGGAGGGAAAGTGTACCTCGCGAAGATGATCCAGGCCATTCTGGTTTTCAACAACCACGGGAAGCCGCGGCTGGTCCGCTTCTACCAACATTTTGTGAGTGCGGCCCGGCTTCGCCGTGTCCTTCGGGGCGCCTGCGCGCCCCCTTCCCCGGTTCATGGTGCTCACGGCCACCGCTGGCTGGCTCGGGCCCCTGCACCATGCCTGCCTCACACCCCTTAACCCCTTTCTCGGGACGAAGGCTGGTACTAGACTTTCTGTCCCAGCCCCGCTGCTCGTGATAGCTCTGATGTCTTGCTGGGCCCCGGCATGTCTGTGCCGTTTTATGGCATTTCCCTTTGGGTCTCAAAGCACCAGATCTAAGCCACAGTTGGGGGTATGTCACATTAGGAACTGGAAATTCTGAAGTCTCTTTAATTACATTGATTGTAAACAGTTTCGTTATGAGGAAGAAACATTCAGAGTCTTAATGTTTTTGCTTTAGCCAGAGGATCTGGAAACGTTGAATCTTGGAATCCTTTTGCTTCCTTTTGTTGGAGTTGTTCAGGGAACTGAGTTCACTGTAGAGTTGAAGAAAGTCAGTTAAGCGGGGAAATGATCAGAAATTATCAGGGCTGCCGCGTTAGGGCTCAACAGATGATTTTATGAATTTGAATTTTCCCAAAACGTTCCTCTGGAAAACTACAAATAACATTATTTGTCGCCGACCCCCCATTTTGTTTCTTAAGAACTAGGTAGATTTCAGAATGTTTCCTAAGGGACAGAAGAAAAGAGAAAACGTAGGTTCTCTGACAAACCTCTTTCACACTTTTTCCCTCTGTCAACTGGAGATGAAACAATTTTACCATTTCCACAGGATTTTTTTATTAGCTGGATTGTTGTTAAGTTGATTCCGACCCATAGTGACCCTGTGTAGGGTTTCCAAGGAGCAGCTGGTGAGCTTGAACCACCGACCTTACAGTTCAAACGACTTTGCAGTCTGCCACATTAGCCCACAGCGCCACACCAGGACACCATTAGCTAGATTACATTTTGTTAAAAAAAATTACATCGAAGTAAAAATCAATATTCAATATTGTTGTTAAGTACCTTCGAGTCGATTCTGACCCATAGTGACTCTGTCTAGGATTTCCAAAGAGCAGCTGTTGAACTTGAACGACCGACCTTGCAGTCTTGACTTTGCAGTCTGATGCATTTGCTCACAGGGCCACATTAAACTTCAGGAGACCTGACCTGGGGTGTCCCAGCAGGAGAATGCACTGGACTGCCAGGTTGGTTTGATCTGAAAGGTTGACGGTTCAAGCCCAACTCTATGGCACTTTACCATCAACACCGTTCAAACTCTATTTTCATTTTTGTGTGTGAATTTTTCTTCATTAAAAATAACTTGTTATTTGGTTGGATTTTTTTTTTATTCAACAGTAAACACATTTTGATTCAGGACATTGATAGCAGCTCCTGACACTTTTCCCACTGCCCATGTTTACTGTTTCTTTTATTCGTTTTCAGAAAAGTTTTAAGATATGTCACACATCATGCACTCATCTACCCAAAGTGTACAGTTAGGGGATTTTTTTAGCCGTATTCGCAGAGTTGTGCAAATATCACGATCAATTCTAGAACATTCTCATCACCCCCAAAATAAGCCATGTTCATTAGCAAGGGGTCTCGCCATTCTCTGCTCTGCGCCCTGGCAATCTACTTTCTGTCTCTAGATGGACATTATACAATATATGGTCTTTGTGACTGGTTTCTTTCACTTAATGGTTCACCCCCTTTGTGCATAATGATTTCAAGGTTTATTCATGTTGTAGCATGCATCAGTACTTCATTGCTATTGCTGAATTGTATGACTATGCTACGTTTTGTTCATCCATTCACCGGTCTTCTTTTAAGGTCGCTGTGACTTGGAATCAACTCATCTGGCAATGGCTTTGTTGTTAAGTGTCTTGGAGTCGATTCCAATTCATAGCCACAGTGTATGGGATTAACAAGGAGTGACTGGTGGGTTTGAACTGCCAACCTTGCAGTCAGCAGTCCAGTGCTTATCTGACAGCACCAGTTTAGTTATGGTGTTGTTGTTGTTGTTGTTGTCAGGTGCCATCGAGTCGGAACCGACTCATAGCGACCCCATGCACAGCAGAACGAAACAATGTCCGATCCTGGGCTAACCTCACTACCGCTGCCACACTTGAGTCCATCAATGATGCCACCTGGCTGATCCATCTCGTTGGGGGTCTTCCTCGTTTTCTCTGACCCTCCACCCTACCCAGCATGACATCCTTCTCCAACGATTGTTTCCTCGGGACTACATGTCCAAAGTAGGAGAGACGAAGCTTAGCCATCCTGGCCTCCAAGGAGCACTCTGGCTGCACTTCTTCCGAAACAGATCTATTGGTTCTTTTGGCAGTCCATGGCACCCTCAGTATTCTCCTCCAACACCACAACTCAAAGGCATCAATTCTTCTATGATCCTCCTTATTCACTGTCCAGCTTTCGCATCCATATGAGGCTATTGAAAACACAATGGCCTCGGTCAGGCGCACCTTAGTCCTCAAGCTGACATCTCTGCTCTTCAATACTTTAAAAAGTTCCTGTGCAGCAGATTTGTCCAGTGCAATACGTCATCTGATCTCTTGACTGTTGCTTCCGTGAGTGTTGATAGTTGATCCAAGAAGAATGAAGTCCTTGACAACTTCAATCTTTTCTCTGTTGATAAGAATGTTGTTTATTGGTCCAGTAGTAAGGATGGTGGTGGTGGTGGTTAAATGCCATCAAGTTGCTTCCGACTCATAGTGACCCTGTATAGAGTTTCCGAAGAAAGGCTGATGAGTTTGAACTACTGACCTTGTGGTTCAAACTGACTTTGCAGTCCAGCGCATGAACCGGCAGCACTCGACCAGGACTAGTTTTGGTTATATGTTGTTAATTGCCGTCGACTTGGTTATTACGGATAGCAATCCTCATAGCCGCGCTGTGGGAGAGAAGACCTGCTCCTGCAGACAGCTTAGGAAACGCTAGGGGGCAGTCTTATGCTATCTTTTGTGGTGGTTGTTAAGTACTATGGAGCCTGTTCCGACTCTTAGTGACCCTGTGCAGGGTGTCCGAGGCTGTAAATCTTTACGGGAGCAGAAACGCTCATTTTTCTCTATCTTTTAGGGTCTCTCTAAATCAGAATCTATTCAGAGAACACAACGATGAAGAAGGAGTAATCTTGAATTGGCTCAATTCAGTTCACTTGGTGCACGGGGTTACCGCAAGTCCGAATTGGCTCTGCAGTAACTAACAACTATTAAGGGTGTTGAAAGGAGCTCTGGTAGCGGAGTGGTTACGCGTCAGTCAGGCTGCTAATCTCAAGGTCAGCAATTCGAAACTACCAGCTGTTATGCAGGAGAAAGATGAGGCTTTCTGCTCCCGTAAAGATTTATAGCCTCGGAAACCCTGTACAGGGTCACTATGAGTCGGAACCAACTCCATGGCACACCACCACCACCAAGCGTGTTGAGCCTCTTTTTGTATGCTTATTGACCAGCTGCTGGAGGGAGGGGGGAGCAGGATGAGGGTTTCTGTTCCTGCAAAGATTTTTAAAAGCCTCGGAAACACTGTACAGGGTCGCTATGAGTTGGAACGGACTGGAAGGCATTTAGCAGCATTGGACATTTTTATATCTTCTTTGGAGATCACAGGGAACCAAAAGAGCCCTTGAGCCTTGGTGTGGTGCTATAGAATAAGCACTGGACTGCTAACTGCAAGGTTGGCAGTTCAAACCCATAAGCCACTCCTTGTAGACCCTATACAGGGTCACTGTGAAACAAAACCCACTCCATGGCACTTAACATGCGCTAACCAAAAGCTTGTTGTTGTATGCCATCGAGTCAATTTCAACCCACTGGGACCTTGTGTAGGTTTTCCGAGGAGCAGCTGGTGAGCTTGAACCCCTGACCTTGCGGTTCAAACTGACTTTGCAGTCCAGTGTGTTAACTCACAGTGCTACACCAGGACTCTAGAAGGTAGGTGGTTCAAACCCACTCCTCAGAAACCTATACAAGTCGCTGTGAGTTGGAACAGACTTGACTGCACACAACAACAAAACAAAAAGTGGAAAGTGCCTTGCAGAGTATTTAAAAATGCACCTGCAAAATACTGAAATATGTGTTGTTAAGTACGGTCCAGTTGGTTCCGACTCATAGTGCCCCTATGTAAGGTTTCCCAGGAGTGCCTGGTGAGTTTGAACCGCCGACCTTGTGGTCCAAGTGCATTACTCCACAGAGCCACAATTGGTCATTGCTGCAGAACGCTTCTCCACAGATTGCTGCCCCCACTCCCTGGAGTCAGAGGAAAGGATTTAGGGAAAGCGGTTTTTGTCAGTTTCAGAAAAGTGCTGATGCTTAGCAGTCTGTAATTCATCTTACACGGTCCATTATGGTATCCTGGCAACTGTGAGTTTTGTTTGGAAACTAGGAAAATGGTGATTGATTTACTTACAGTGTCCTTAGCGAATTTTTCTTGTAGATGCCCAGATGATTCTTGTGTGCACATCTTATTCTGTAAGGTGTAGATTAAAGTGTAGATTCTGATTCAGTCTATCTGGGGTGTGGTTGTTAGATAGTGTTAACTGTCCTCAAGTCGGTTCCAACTCATAGTGACCCTGTATGGAGTTTCACTGAGTTAGCAATCTAGTGTTTATTCTACAATGCCACACCTGGGTGTAGTGATAGAAAGGCAAATTCTCAGTAGGGGGTTGAACTGGTTTGATGGACTGGTCCTTAGACCAGCAACATTTGGTTATCTCCTGGGAGCTTGTTAGAAATGCCATCTCAGGTCTGATTCCAGATGCTAACGTCAGGGTTAGCAGTTCAAAACTACCAGCTGTTCCATGGGAGAAAGATAAGGCTTTCTGCTCCTGTAAAGATTTACAGCCCCGGAAACCCTGTACAGGGTTGCTGTGAGTTGGAACCGACTTCTGGCACCTAATAACAAACTAGATCAGAATCTGCATTTTAACAAGATTCTCTGGTGATTCAGTGTACATTAATTACAGTTTGAGACTAGTGAGTCTAGAACTTTACGTTGATTTCTACGGTCTTAATGCTATTTTCTCTCTCCCTCCTCTTCTTTGTTGTTGTTAAGTGCCTTGGAGTCAGTTCCGCTGACCCTGTATAGGGTTTCTGAGGAGCGGCTGGTTGCAGTTCAAACCGACCTTATGTTTCACCTCAGCACCGTACTTAAAGTGTGAGTTATTAAGCGATTCCTTTCTAGTTGGGCTTTCTCCTGTGAACCCACTGCCTTGGAGTTAATGTCAACTCATAGCGACCCTAGAGGGTAGACTAGAACTGCTCCCTGGGGTTTCCAAGGCTGTGAATCTTTACAGAAGCCGGCAACCTCATCGTTCTCCTGTGGAGTGGCTATTTTTTGCATTTAGCCCATGACAATTCACTGCACCACCAGGACGCCAGTAACTGCATGTTGTTGTTGTTAGGTGCCATCGAGTCGGTACCGACTCATAGCGACCTTATGCACAGCAGAACGAAACACTGCCCGATCCTGGGACAACCTCACTGCTTTTGCCATGCTTGAGTCCATTGATGCTGCCACTTGGCCAATCCATCTTGTTGGGGGTCTTCCTCTTTTTCTCTGACCCTCCA